TGAACAGCAGTACATCTACAAAGTCCCTGCACAAATGAACATGCCATTCCTTTCAGATAAAGCCTGTTTTACACAAAACTGTGAACTAAGCAATAAGTTAGCAATGTGAACTGTGATCCTGAGTATAGTGAAATTGTACGACGCCAGCATTACAGGCAACAAAATGTACTGTTTCAATCCACATGCCTGGAAACATCTGTACGTGAATTATCTACGTAGAAATATACAAAACAGACTTAAGCTATTATGCATTTTCTTTAAAGGTCCTGTATTGCTAACCCACCATTTGGTAACAAGTCAAACACACCTCACATACACCATACATTGATAATCATGATCTAAAACCACCATTTTCTTGAATTTAGTTTGTGCATTATTCACAACCTAGTGACTATGAAGGTAAAGTTTTCATTGTGCTTAAGTACGCACGCCATAGAGACATACAAGAAAATTGTGGTACAGTTCAACTATTCTCAGCCTCTGTACTAGATGGAGGTGAGTCGTCAGCTTCAAGCCCCTGCCACTTTACTCCCCAGGGAAAGAGCGCCATGGTACCCACTGAATAGGAGCCTGGGTGGGCCCCAGGGCCAGAATGGGAGCCGTGGAAAGGAAAGAAATATCTTGCCCCTGCCATGAATCGAACACCAGTTCCTTGAGTGTGCAGTCTATAACCCATTACTATACTGACTGAGTTATTCTAGCTCCCACTTAGTCACTATTTTAACTTAAAGTCACAGATTAATGAATTCAAGAATTAATCAGTAAATTAATCTGAAATAGCTAATAATTTAAAAATATAGCATATACCTATTTTACCTGTTGTATGAATAGAAATTATAATGAGGAGCTCCATAACTTGTACACTTCTCGAAGTATAATTAGAATGATCAAGTCAAGGAGGATGACGTGGGCAGGTCATGTAGCTCGAATGGGGAGATGAGGAATGTGTATAGGATATTGGTGGGAAAGCCAGAAGGAAAGAGACCACAGGGAAGACCAAGGAGTAGGTGGGTGGACAATATTAGAATGCATCTTAGAGAGATAGGATGGGATGGTATGGATTGGATAGATCTGGCTCAGGATAGGGACCAGTGGAGGGCTCTTGTGAACACGTTAATGAACCTCAGGGTTCCATAAAATGCTGGGAAATTCTTGAGTAGCTGCAGAATTGGCGGCTCCTCAAGAAGGACTCAGCTACATGAGTAAGTAAGTATGAATGGAAATTTCCGTATCTTAATCTAGAGAGAAAAAGACACATTGACTGAAGCTGGAAAAAAATGTGCGAAGCAGAATGTCCTGATGTAAGGGAGCTCAAGGTAGGGATGACCACAGAAATCACGTACTAAGATTCACAGTTTGTATTCTTCAGTGTTAATGATCAAAAATGAGATGAAGTGACAGAAGGTTGGAGACAACTCCATAATGAGGAGCTTCATAACTTGTACTCTTCTCAAAGTACAATTAGAATGATCAAGTCAAGGAGGATGAGGTGGGCAGGGCACGTAGCATGAATGACGGAGAAGAGGAATGCATATAGCATTTTGGTGGCAAAGCCAGAGGGAAAGAGCCCATCGGGAAGACCAAGGCATAGGTGGTTGGACAATATTAAAATGGATCTTTGAGAGACAGGATGGAATGGTATGGATTGGATTGGATTGATCTGGCTCAGGAATGGAACCAGTGGAGGGCTCTTGTGAACACAGTAATGAACCTTCAGGTTCCATAAAATGCTGGGAAGTTCTTGAGTAGCTGCACAATTGGCAGCTTCTCCAGAAGAGCTCAACTCCATGTGTGTGTGTCTGTGCGTTAACGACCAAAATATTGCCATGTGCATGATGGAAATTGGAAAACCTCATGAAAGGTGTGGATACTTTTAAATAGAACCTTAGGGAAATATCTGTGAGGTGTGGACTGGCTCATAGCATGAAAAAGGAGGCTTTTGTAAGTGATGATGACAAACCTTTGAATTCCAGGACAACACAGATTTTCTTAAACAACTAACAACATAAAGATGGTCATTTACGTACTGCATCAAATCTTATGTACATAAATCCTCTAAACATATGTGAAAATCAATGGACTGCCCAGTTTTCCTCATTGCACCCCTCTCCCCATTTCTCCACTGAGCCACTCACTCTTCATTATCTAACTGTGTTTAATATTCATGTTCTCTGAACAATATAGTATACGTTGTATGCCCTACTTCTCCAATATCCGAATTTTGCCGCCTTTGATAAGATGAATAGTCTCACCTTCTCGAATTTTGGGGTTTAGTTATTTAACGACTCCTTATCAAACGCTGTCAGTACTGCCATAATTATTTCCTTGTATTTCCTAGTCGGAAGAAGGAAAATTACAACATTTTACGTTAATTCTAATCAGGTAACCACCAAGCAAAACGAAGGAACAGTAACCACTACACCACCTTGTCTGGAACTCTGTGACTGACTGCTGAGGGCACAATTTGCTGAAGCTAAGCACTGGGAAGGATAGCTACGTTTTCATAATTATGATATAGGCCTGTCTCAGCTATGTTTAAAAAGGGACATTTCTTTTCGCTTCTTGGGATTCATTTCAAAATTCCTCTTCTACTGTACTTTAACATCACATCCTCAGGCAGTAGAGGCCATAGTCACAATCGAGTTTCTGTGCACCACACCTTGGCAGTATAAATATTTTATCAGCAGGAAATGAAATACTACAACTAAAATAAAATGTAATTAAAGCTAAGGCTTTTCGATTTCAGTTTCAATTGCATATTGCGTTAACAGGTGTAAATATACTGTGTAGCTGAGCAAAGTAGGTTTCACACGCATTAACAGATCAATCTTTTGTCGTCAAGAAACACTTCTGCACAAAATGTATATTTAACACTAATCTCAACTTCATGGAGCTGAGCCCTTCTTGAGAAGCTGCCAACCGTAGCCACCGAAAAACTTTCAGCATTTTATTGAACCCAAAGGTTCATTACCATGTTCACAAGACCCCTCCACTGATCCATATCCTGAGCCAGATCAATCCAATCCATACCATCCCATCCTATCTATCTAAGATCCACTTTAACGCTGTCCACCCACCTATGTCTTGGTCTTCCTAGTGGTCTATTTCATTTCGGTTTTCCCATCAATATCCTATACGCATTCCTCTTCTCCACCATTCATGCTACATGCCCTTCCCATCTCATCCTCCTTGATTTGATCATTCTAAGTATGTTTGTCAAGGAGTACATATTACAAAGCTCCTCATTGTGCAGTTTTCTCCAATCTCCTATCACTTCATCCCTCTTCAGTCCAAATATTCACCTCAGCACCGTGTTCTCAAACACCCTCAGTCTATGGTGGTTATTACTAACAGATTAAAAACGATTTAAGTACTACCCTCAAGAACAATAAAAATTCTATTCCAATAATTGTAAACCCGTGAGATGTTCCCACATTGTTGTCTTCGCCAAGAAGTTTCAAAGCCCTAGAAAGATATATATATAGATTGGTCTTTATATTTCTATGCAACAATCGCCATACGCAATATTGTGCATGGCAGACTTCCTTGGGCTCACATGGTAGGCCTATAATTTTTTCGACACACTACAGTCTGTCACGATGACATCAGATGAATATGTGTCTGAAGAACCTCCATCCAAAGATATTTTCTGACTCCTCACTAATTCAGGAACATGTTATAAGATATTTTCTGACTCCTCACTAATTCAGGAACATGTTATAACTTATGTAACGCACAGTCGAACTACGCTTGGAAAATCAGACTTACTGAAGAAGTATGGGCAGACGTTTAAAATAATGAGGCAAGACATATAAGGCTACACAAATAATTCATTCTTGGTGTCAAATGTGTCCCAACAAACAATGGCCGCTAGCAATTATATGGCGACTACAATGAAGAGGCTTTCTGTGAACAGTTCACCTAACCGACCACACATCCCACGATTCAATTTATGGTATGTGTGAAATTCATTTTGTCACTAACGCGGAAGTTTCGTTAAACGCGTCAGATGCGAACTCAGAAAATGGACTGTGCATTAAACAATTTATCATAAAACTCTTAAAGATGCATACTTGGCTAAACACACAATAGCCAACATACCGCAAAGCTATGTGTGTAAGCAATCGCATTCATTAGCTTCCACAAATGAAGACTTTTCCGCACAATGTACGAGAAAGTAACAAAATGAGAATGTATTTATTTTAATTGTTTCCTGAGCTGATGGGTTTAAAGTCCGAAGAATATTTAATTTGAAATTTGTGCTATGAGTACAAAAATTATCCTCCTATGAAATGTTTCATCCCCCATAAAGTACAATCAAACGTAGTAAAACATGGGGATGCCTGAAAAATTACAACGATGCCATATCGCACGAGATGGGACAAACTGGCACCAGTGTGATCACTCATGCACTCACTGAACCGCTGTTGCCACACCTCACGGGCTCTGCAAGACTCCACGTCAACAGGAACTACGATCGAAATATCATGGGAATTCATCTTGTAATATCAGAAACGCAAAAATACAGACATGTTTGTAATGAAGCCAGCAAAATCAAGGTATTGCTAATAACCATTAATTGCGATGAAACAGCGACTTGTTAAAAGTAGTGCTATTAGTATTCAGCGATTTTCATAAATTTGACGGCCTTTAAAACTTGGCGAATTGGTAAAGACTTCACTGGGCAGATGCGGCTGAAAATTCGATCCACACAACTAAATACTCAACAAATGATGCGATTTCGTAAACCTTAGATCATAAAAAGTAATTCATATTTTGTAACTCCGGTTTATGAAATATAATATAAATAGTATTATTTAACTTACGCCACTGCTACCCTAAGGAATCAGTTCACACATAACTGCTCAACAATGATCTGTTTTAACGGTACTTTCACCCAGCCTGCTCCCTTCCTGTAGACAACTTGCATATATACTGCACGTCCAATGAGTCCTAATTACAAATATGGAATTAAATCAAATGTATGAGGAAATTCTCACCTGTGAAGAGCTGGAGACCTTTGTGCGTATGCCATCGGAGCCTGAGGTGGCATTCCACCATGTTCAAGATGTACAACTGATTGTTGAACAGTTTCCATAATAATGAATGCGGGGGAGGCCCGAGGGCTTGTTGGATCTTCTTCGACGCCGACGCCACCGTCTGAGCACAAGTAAAATACACGAAACTATTACTTTATCAACCCTTTCCTATTCTTGCACCTTATTCATTGCACTTATTAAACTTCTTGTTTCTTCTTAATTTTGAAGGGTTGGGAGGGTTTGAGGGAACGGGGGAGACGGTTACGTTTTCACTTCACCATCTTGATTCCGCCTCTGTCGTCTAGAACGTTGCAGATTTTAGTCGACTCTTCATGTTTAACGCTTCTCGTTTTGCGTAAACAGATGGACCGAAGTTGCATCCAACGCACTGATTCTGAACTACGAATGAACGGAATTTTGATAAAACAAAAAAACACACACGCTTATCTTCTTCCAGCTCGGGAGAATGGCGATAAAAAATGAAGTCTCAAGCAAAAACAACTCACCGTAGATATATTTTCTCTCGCTTCTTGCGACGTTCACGTTCCAAAATACCAGTTTTTTTATAATGGCTAAGAAATCCAATACACCTGCTACCCCCTCATATTATAGTTTTTTTTTATATTCTTCCCTTGTGTTTCACAGTACGGGGCGATGCAAACGAGGAAGCAACAACGATAACTGTGATAGCGCTTCAGCAACTACATTGTAGTTTGGTATTTTGCTAGCGGCCATACTAGGCACAAAATGCTAGCTGCTCCTCGTTGCGTTGTCCGTCCTGAGAAGAGTTGCGGTTGAAGCTGCCTGACTTAGTGGTTTGTTCTGCAGTAGTAGCTTTCTTGCATAGTCGACGACCATTGCTACCATTTGTGCTTACCTGTTGGAACAACGCACTTGAATCGTACTGCTTGCCACGGCAGCTGTTACCACTCCGATAAGAATAATACTGTGACTTGTATGGAACAAACATGTGGGGCCTGTTATTTCTACTGACGAGTATCTGTCGGAAATTGCACTCTCTTGCCCGCTGAAAATATGACAGAGACACGATCATTAGTACAATGACAACACTTATCTTGCCGCCATTTTTGTTGCACGTGGATATCAAATATTTATCCTTTTATTACATAGAATTCGTGTTTTGCATTTGAAATAGGCCTACGGTTATCCAAATTGACAGGATTAAATGATGAATATATTTGTAGGATACTGTTTATGTTTTAAGATGTGAAGCTCAATATGTAGCATAATCGAAGACGCTGTTCACTGTTCTAAAATGCGACCAGAAAACTATTATCACAATATGCACGAAAGAACGTAATAATGAATCGATGTATAGTAGAATCACACGCAATAATACACGACACTGTCGATCAGCAATGTTAACAATAACTTCTCTGCCTTATGACTACTGACCACACATGTAAATGGAAGTGGAGTGAGGTACATACACCCAATCGCCGTCCGTCAGACCTTAGCACTCAGTCATCAGACCACAGCAGTAGACTGCGCGTTCAAAATATTGACTCCCTCCAAAAAAAAAAATATGTACTCGTGCACACGCAAAATCTTATCAAGTTGAATTTACCTTCGTAATGCCCAGTGTCTTCCTATTGTCTTTTAACATACCTCTCCCTTAAATGTTTTAAAGTCATTGAACTAGCCCTAGAAAACCATTACACTCACACACATACAGAAAACCAGCACCAGCAGTAGAGGGCCTGAGTAGGCAGCAGGCTCGTAGGCTTGCAAACAGGTTTTGGAAGAGTCCATGTTCCGAAAAGGGAAGAGGGGTGTTATGGAGCGCTATCAATGGGACCCGTGAGTGGGGAAACGAGACGAAGGGGAAAGGGTCGGAGGGGAGTGGGATGACGTGTGGAGGAGAGTGAGGAACGTGCGGAGGGAATGATGGCTTTGCTGGCTTGGTCAGAAGAGAGGAGGGTATGGGGGTTCCTGCTGTAAAGGTTGAACATGGGGCATCTCATTCCTCCCACCGGGGGCCACCCAAAAAAAATCTATCCAAACAAAACACCGCAGTACATTTTGGCATATTGTTATGTGCTATAGTTTCTGATTGCAGTGTCCTCCAACGAAACCCCTACTTTATGTTAATCTCGTTCGCCATTTTTCAAGGTTAAAGTCGATGTACTCGAAAGACTGGTCTTACAGACACACACATATGTACATGTGTGTGCGCGTGTGTGTACGTTCTGTGGTGGTTATACGCCTGCTTAAGTGTAATCAATTACATTCCTGGAAAGTATGTATGTAACCAATTTTTCGTCAGTTTTGTCGTAACTACAAATATCATTATAACAGACACAAAATAACATACAGTCGAATTAGGATAGGGAAATAAAAACTATTGGGCATTCGCGGGAGATACATAAGGTCAAATGGCTCTTCAACCAGCAAGAACATGTCTCTCTCTCTCTCTCTCGCTCTCTCTCGGTTAGAGAACAGGAAAATCGGGTCTGCAGGTTCACGATGCTGAAAGCAGCCCAACAGTTGCAGAGAAGCTGCCAGCTCACTCTCGAGCAGCAGCAATTCCAAAATGGCGGTTAGTGTTTGTTTCCTTCCTCGTTCGACCGAGAACGAGCGAGATGGTTGCCATAGTAACAGGAATCTCTCCGGCTCAACACAATGTACGTATGTATGTCCCCCAAAATAAAGCCGTTGATGCGCAATTGTATGGAGTGGAGTGTTTTCATAGTTAGGCTAGAACTTACTCTATGTTTTTGTTAAAATATTGTTTGGGAGGTGAATAAAATATACACGATTCTGTGTGTAGTATATAATGTCTTAAATCATACACAGATTCATCTGAATGTTGTGCCTTTCGCTCTTATTTAATTTATTCTGCATAAACTTCAAAATCCGTCATAAATTGCTCCCATTATATTTTGTAACCACAAGGATGGCATAGCACCAAGCAAAATAAAACTTATATTACTAATTTTCATTGACATTTAGGGACCAAGCAGGTTGGTGTAGCGTTAACACCAGAGATATTGGAGAGGCACCAGTTCTAATCTTGGACAGACAATTTTTCATGTTTCACCTCAAACTCTTCCGGTGAAAGATGTGATAGTATAATTTAAATTAGGGTGAGATTGCCTATTTATTAATATATGTTTCCCATTCATGAGAATCTCATTCAGTGCCATTCAATCCTTCTAACTGAAATTGCGGTGCTAAAAGGCCTAAGAATCAATTAAAATTGTGGAAATTATATACTAAGAAAATAAATAATAAACAGTTCTGGAGTAATTCTATGATAAAAATTAGTATTAATTTCGCGAATTAAAATGTAACAGGACCCTCTTATCATAAGGATAAACACATTCTTGTAATTTTACTTTTTAAAATTCTGGAATGATATCTCATGCAAAATTCTAACTTTGCTCATTCAAGAGTTCTGGACAGAAAGTAACTTTCTAACATAGACAGAGGAAACAATTAAGTGCATGAAACCAGACGTTCACGATAAATTGATGTCTGTAGAGGAAAATGAGTTACTAACGTCATAACCTAAAAAATGGTAGATGGAGAGGTATTAATTTATTTTCAGTCACTACCACTTGATGAAATTTCAACATTTATCTTTCAGATCCGCCTTCATAATATGCTCCTTTCTTAATATTAGCTAGTAATGCATGAGAAGAATCTATTAAAACGCCGATAGTATGACACCAATGAAATATTAATACAATTTTAGTGAAGCAACTGTCTGTCAACAGCATTAAATGCATCAGATGCAGGTAAAGTTGTCCCTGTCCTTAATTACTATTATGTATGAAATCCCATCACCAACAGACTCTACCCTCCTAAATGCTGATGTGATTCTCTCATGTATAAAAAATACTTGTACTTAATTCATGATTCTCATTCCCGTTTCCATAGAAACATGTATATTCGCCTGCTGGTTCGGTGCCACCTCTGTTCCATCTGACCTGTACTCCTACCAAATCTAACTTATATTTTGCGATTTCTTCTGCCACTGCCCTAAGCGAACCTGCCCTATACATACTTACAACATTCCACGTACCAAGTCTCATCCATTTTCTTTCGCTTAGGTAATTTATCCCAGGAATCCGTCCCAGTCCGACGCTTCTTGTGAGCTTTCGTAACAAGCTTATTTTTACGGCGAGGAGTTGTTAATTCCACCCTAACCCCGAAGTTGGAGGACCACCCCCTGTCGGCTGTCCGCGACTGCTTCTTTAGTACATTCGCAACTACCCTCCATATCTGGAATGCGTTTCCTCTGACCGCAAACTGAGGACGCGTCATGCCATGGTGACGAGAGATCCACCTATACCATAGACCGAATGTCTACATAATAAAAATACACGACATATTAAAAATAAACTCGCACGCTTATCTAAAATGGTAGAGTATGACTGACTAAGAAAGACGAAGAAGACACTTGGCAATATTTTGACAAGTTTAAAATAATTAAGTCTTTCTCCTGAGCAATGCCCAGCAAGAGAAGTGAAGCAGTACATAATTTAAAATAAACAAAACAAAGAGTACGCTCATAGTATCGTACAAAGGCTTTCGAGGATATATCTTGTAGAAACCGTCTTTGATTCATAAAATTAAGGAAACACCAGCAAACTTGAAAGCATGATTTGAGTTTCAAAATAATTCTTTCTTGTTGATATGTATGCAATATAATATTAACTCAAAACAATTTAATATGAGAAACCTTTCCGCATGTAATTTGTTCCTTATTTCATAGGAATTTATTTTGGATTTTGCCTATAATTTTGCATGAGCGTGAAACTTGATCTCTCACGTAACTGAAGAACAGACTCTGGGAGTATGGGAACAGGATGCTGAGGAGACTGCTGGGACATATGAAGGAGGAAGTAAGAGGAGACTGAAAAATTTGCGTAATTAGGAGCTTCATAATTTGTCAGATATTATTAGAATAATCAAATGAAGGAGGATTCAGTGGCTTAGTTCAGTTTAGTTTAAGTTAAGTTTCGTTGTAAACTTAGAACAATATCCACATAACACCAAGTTTTTGTGGTACATAAGTTCAATACCTACAAACACACAAACTACAATACGTACAATACAAACAATAAGTACAAACTACTTACACTGTTTAAGTCAGTTCAGTTACTGTTGTTAATGTCACTACTGATACCACCACTACTGTACCATTACCAATCCATTTTATGGACACGGAATGTAATACTCATAGGGGAGAAGCCTATACAAAGGAAAACCTAAAGGAAATGAACAACTAGGAAGAGCTAAGCATGGATATGAGGATGTTAAAATGGATCATAAAGAAACAGGACTAGACTCTGTTGATTGGATTCATCTGGCTCAGGATGCAGACCAGTGGCAGAGTCTTATGGACTCGGTAATGAAAGCATTCCATGAACTCTGGGAATTCCTTGAACAGCTGAGCAATTGGCTTCTGTAGAGGAACTCAGTTCTATTCAATGGGTTAGTTACTCAGTTTTTCCTTGTTTGTTTCATGATTCCATATTAATATAAGTAGCAAGGAATGCTATGAGACATTTAATACCTAACCTGCTCAAAATTAACAGTCGTAGTGGAAACGCAGGAAGATGGTTTGTATAGGCCTGATTCCATTCCCAGTGCTTCTCGGATAGAGTGGCTACCTCAGCCTCAGATCTCTAACAGTACACTTCTGAGTAATACTGGTTTTGGTCGGATTTCGGCCTGCTAGAGTGCAGAATAACCATTTCTGATTCCGCATAATAAAATTCAGGTATAATGTGAACAAAGTCAGCAGCTGTTCTCCCTGCTTGATCAGTGTGTATAAATGAAATAAAGGCATGAAGTACTAACAAAAGAATTAAAGTAAACCAGTATTAGGGCCGCGCCATAGCTCAAGCGGTTAGTCGCTGGCTTCCCACCGCGGCGGCCCGGGTTCGATTCCGGGTCTGGTCAAGTGGAATTTGTGGTGGACAAAGTGACGCTGGAACAGGTTTTCTCCAAGTACTTCGGTTTCCCCTGCCAATCTTCATTCCACCAATTGCTCCACAATCACCCTCACCTATCATCTATGGCTGGTACAATAGGCCAGAAGTGGCCGCAGTACAAGGGACTTAGTCCCACCCCACTAGCAATAAAAAACAGTACTAATTCATGTTTGATTTGTAAGAAGACAAGAAATAAATCAGAACTTAACGTGTAACTTCTGCTTAACAAAATTATATATGAATACTTCAGTAAAATTCGACAGAATATTTGCTTTATCATTAGCAAATGCTGCTGAAAACTGCAAGGAAATTAATCGTTAATAGTCTCGAGAAAATAACAGGAAGAGATGGAGAGGAAGGAACCGGGAGAATATGACAGAAGGGTCGAGACACACACAGACAAAACAGGCTCTGTAAACACATCAAAAAATATAGAAATAAGAAAACAAAACAGCGGCAAAACCAGTGACAGGTTTTCAGTGATGATGAAAGGTCTCCTAACCTCTAACAATATACAGTGATGTCCTTCATTAAATTTTAAGGTTGTGTACTGAAGTGAAAATAGCTCCATTAGATCCTCTTTGTAACAACGTTGATCCAGTAATGTTATCTTCCACACGCTCTCACCAAATGTCTCATACCGTAACAGTACAAGTATGAAATTCTTCTGTCTTCAGTTTACATACTTATTACAAGTTACATAAAAAC